GCTGCCTCCCGTAGGAGTAGGGACCGTGTCTCAGTTCCCTTGTGGCCGATCAGCCTCTCAGCCCGGCTACGCATCATTGTCTTGGTAGGCCATTACCCCACCAACTAACTAATACGACTTATCCCTATCAATTAGCGAAAGCCTTGCGGCTCCCTTTCATTGCCGAAACAAAAAATGCGGTATTAGCCCTGGTTTCCCAAGGTTATCCCCCACTAATTGGCAAGTAAGATAAGCATTACTCACCCGTTCGCCACTCGCCACTCATAAAGGTTACCCTCTACTGTGTTGCCGTTCGACTTGCATGTGTTAGGCATACTACCAACGTTCATCCTGAGCTAGGATCAAACTCTTAAAAGAATAAACTGTAAGAATTCACTCACAGGTAATTGGTTCCATCTAGTTTTCAAAGAGATATTAACATGTTTTTTAGCCAGGAGAACAAGTAACCTTCGTGTATTTATTATAATTATTAGGCACCTGCTTCTTATTACCCCAATTTTCGACCAAATCAGCCTTTATTAAGAATTTTTGACAATGATAAACAATTCCCCCCTCCACTCACTTCACCCGACAAAAAAGGTCCCAAGAACAAGGAAGATTTTTTTGTTTATACGGCATGAATAGCGTAAACTTGACCTTACTGGTTATTTTTTTCTAACCAAACATTAGCAGCATAATTAATATAAAATTGATTATAGCAAATTATATAATAAATAAATTGTCATGGTAAACGCTCAAGAATGATTGAATAAAAAATACCCAAAAGAGGGGAGAAACAGAATAAGAAAAATAGTTATAAGGAACAAGGAGGTAGAGGGAGAACTCAATTTAAGTGATTTTGTTAATTTAGAGGAATTTCGTTGCTTTTCTGAAAAAATAACCAGTATTGATGTGAGCAATAACTCAAACTTAACGACTTTAGTGTGTTTAAGTTACATTGAAAATGAAAATTTTATTGAACCAGAAAAAACCTCCCTTAGTGTTCTTTTTTTTTGAGCAATTCCAGTGAATTTGATTTCTGATAACAAAGAACCCCAATTTGTTTGAGATGCTATAGTCAACAGATATAGAACCTATTACCCCGAAATGTCTTTAATCGACATTTCCGATCTCAACCAATTAGCCGCTCAAGTAAATGAACAAACTGCTAATGACGAGAGCTTTTTAAAGCAAATTTGCCCGCTCGAACCCGAGAAATTTATCAGAAACGAAGCAGGGAACTTTTGCGAAATTCTCGAACGAATAGCCAATCGTATTCTCGCTCGTTGCTTAATTGTGCAAAATCGTCTTGTTTGGGGAAAAGACGAAGAATACGAAAGAGAAATAAACCGTCGTAGTTTAAAATACCTATTTACTTTTGATAAAATTGCTCCCAAACACCCCCTCGGGGCTTACATTCCTAATCGCCAAAGATTAGTTAAAAAAGTCTTAGCGGGCGACCAAGAACTAACTGACCGCCTTAAAGATTTATATGACAAAGAAAAAGAGCTAAAAATAATTCGCGAAGACGGTTCCCCGTCTTATCAAACACTTCGAGACAAACTAACTAATATTCAATTAACTATTTTCAACCATCTAAAAAAATGCACCACCATACTATTTGATAGTAGGCTCGATAGTCTTAATTTTGCTAATTTGAAAGAAGCAACGGAAAAAATTGAACGCGGATGCCAGGAAATCAAAAACGAAAACCAAGCATTAAAAAATAAATTAGCATTAGCCGAGGAATTATT